AATTTATTCAATAAGGTAGAATTTAAGTTGTAGTTAYTAAATGGAAGTTTATTTCGTGAAGGTCGCTCTTCTAGATATAATTAGCGCTAGCTGATATTGGGCACCATTTCTTTCTAAATCTTTCGATTTGAATTTGAGAGTGATTAGCTTCTAACGCCTTCAAGCGTGCACCTTAAAATTGGCATCGCGAGTCAGTTTCTCAATGAAGTTTATCTTAGAAAAGTTATTAACAATCAAGACCTATAGCTGAAGGTACATTTATCAACGAATATATCAGCTGCAACCACAATAATTACAGACATGTACTATTTCAAATGATAAAACAAACCTGTTTCTTTCGGCATCTCATAAAGACTAGCGACGTCTGTGTGGGATAAAACGTAGTCTTTGATGTCAGTTAACGAAATTGTGACCCTCTTGCTCAAGTGACACAATCGTTTACTAGCTTTCGGCCGACATCCTCGCCTAAGTATTATTTTTTGCATCCGGGTTCTAACGAAACTTATATATTTGGATATTGGTTTTAAAATTTTGAAGCGTAGCTCGAGGGTATACCTACACGATGGTTTCTTAGAGACTCACGTATTTTTTTGAGTAGCATAGATAACAAGCAATGCCCTGGAAGTTGGTCATTTTCTCCAAGGGACGTGAGACTTAAGAAAAACACATTTTGATTGAGTAATATTGAAAATATGTCATTATATGTCATTCTGTTTATAAGCTCTGGAGAATTAGAATTATAATTCGCACCGTAATCATATTTTTTGTTCTGAATTTAAGGGTTAATTAAAACTTTTTAATTAAAGAAAGGAAGGATGGGAGAGGAGGGAGAAAGGGAGGAGAGAGGGAGGGAGGAAGGAAGGAAGGAAGGAAGGAAGGAAGGAAGGAAGGAAGGAAGGAAGGAAGGAAGGAAGGACGAAAGAATAAAAAGAAGCAAGACTTGGTTCTGGCTCGTCAGCTAAGATTTCTTGTTTTGTCGCGATTATTACCTAAAATACGACTTTTTCAAAAAGGTTGGTTGAAGGTTTTGTTGTATGTTGCGTAACAAGCCCGAACTATAGCTACACTATTGGCGATATGAATACCATCAGCGAACGGTCGCAACAATATGAATTTTACCAAACTTTGTCTGCACGTTTTCCCCGGCATAATTACTTCAGTATTGACMTTATTTATATATAGTATTATATTATTTCAATCTTATAAAGCAAGRTGCAACATKCAACAWAACCTTYACTAGCYTTATTTTTAATAGYTGTATATTTTCTCTAAATAATAACATAAATATTCAACGATGCTTTGGTAATGTTGTAGCACTATCACGTGCCCRCGCCCATAATATAGCTTGGACTGTCTGTGGTTAGGTGACAGAGCAATAAAGTCCTTTTGCTTTCAGAAATTGATTTCTTTCTCATGGAAAACGATTGTTTTGTTCCTGCCATTTAACATGGCTTCCGTTACGTGATGGTGCAAATCCCCTTTAAAAAACGCAATAATTTATGAAGGAAGCCTACCTTCATCGGTAAAGGTATAGGATAAAAATATCCTAGAGAACTATAATATTGGCCTATATTGAAATACATGTTGATATATTTRATATCGGCTAATATTAAACCTTCTGATGTCAAGGATTAAAATCTATGAATTCGTGTAATTAGAAATGATTGCGTAATTGCTAAAGTCATCAACTCAAGAGATTTCGTTTGCCCTACTAGAAATATTTCATTTCTACAAAAAAATTATTTTAGCAAACAATATTTATCGAATCTTTATTCACTTCAGTGGGATGTGTGCATAATATTTGATAATCACTTACAGTACGTACCCTAATAAAAGCGTTCCCTTAAGCACTAGGMTTCAAGAACAAGAGTTTCCGGACTTAATTTTATTTTTTATTTTTTGAAGTCTGTATTCCTTTTTCTATCGATTTCGGAAATGAGAAACCGCATAACACAATCCAAACTCTGGAAGAAAGGATAGATAAATGGACGAACGTATGAACAAACGGACGGACGAACGGACGGACGCAAGGACGGACGAACGCACGAACGCACGAACGCACGAACGCACGGACCGGACGGACGGACGCACGGACGGACGAACGGACGAACACACGAACGAACAAACAAACGAACTAATAAATAAACCTTAAAATCTGTCATCGAATTGACTGTTGAAATACGGATTTACGTATCATTCTCTCCTMGAGTTCGCAATAGATAGCGGAAATACGATAACTGTTGCTGTACCAACCTCCAAGAGTATCGATAAATAAGCTAGAACATTAGTTTTTTATACTAATACCCCTAAGCTTCAGGAAGATGTAACTAAAAGCGACACATTTATAGTTTAGTGTTTGTCRAATAAGCTTTCATGCTTATCTTTTTTAACTGAAATGGCAGAAATAACCCGAGGCATTTCGTTTACTTTGGTAATTATTTGAATAAGATGTTAAGAAGCTTCCTTTGATTAAAAAAATCATAATTAACTGTAGGTACTTTCGTAATCGAAATGTGAAAGAAGCCAGAGGCTTTTCATGTTTTCAACTGATCATTTGGTAAGGAAGAAAGTAATAGATTGGACGCTGCATATCTT